GTGGTTGACACATAGGCCTCCCACAGACGGCAGCTAATAAAGTCACGATAAGTTGTTTTCTGTGTTATGGTGTTTTATGTTATACAGAAGACACAATCCAGTTACTGCTTGTATTGAGTAATTTAATGCCATTTCTAATGAATTTTAATGAATAAGATAACTTTTTAATGGTAGCCATTTTGACTTGTCATAGCAGGTCAAACACAGGTGTGATTAAAGCTGCATTAATTGATTTCGGGCCACTTGGGGACAGCCGTACACTTTCATATACATCCAGCAGATATTGAGGAACATTAGCATTTGCTGGAGCTGTGTTTAGACCCACTAAGTTAATGTAACTTTCACTTTCCTTCTAGTTCAAAACCAACTCTTGAGAAAAATATCTGTCTCTTCAGTCATTAAATACTCAAATATGTAGTTGCTAACTTTGTCTGTCTGCTGCTTGGTGCTGAGCAGGCAGTGTACAGTGGGTTTATCAGAGCTTTATCACTGAAAACAGTTGCCTGTGAGGGTAATGGCCGCTGCGTTGCAGACTGGAAACCCAATGCAATGAGCTAAAAGAGGCTTAAAGCCGACGTATAGAGATACAGATACAGAGCTCAGTGATCATTTCCTGCAGGCTTGTCACTATGAGCAACTCCTTTTAACTTTACACATAGTAATTTCAGTGTTTATAAAAACATTGGCATATATTGGTAAGTTTAAGTTTAAGTAGCGTATATGTGGTGTGGTACTGTATGGCAATACCATATCATCGTGTCCATTTGTTCACTGCCTGTCCTGTATGTCTGTGATGTGTGTAGTTGTAGTATGGCCTATGTAGTTCATCTCTCAGGGCTGGTTTGCGCACACACTAATGTACTATACATCCAGGAGGGATGAAAGTTGGCACAACATGATTCAGATGTTAAAAAAATATGTGTTAATTTGGGGAGAAAACAAATATTACAAAATGGACATTAGTAGGAGTTTCTCTTTGCAAGTCTGCTTTTGAGTGAAATCGACTGAAGAAAGGGTCTCTCTGCTCTACTAAAATATTGTAGCACTTTTCAGCACCTGGGATCCCAGGCATGGTGGCTGACCCCCAGGGAGGCAGCAGGCTCAGGCCTGTAATCCATAAACACACAGTAGAGTGAACACAGAGAGCTTGTCCTTTCTGAGAGGACGTCTTTTTTTACTTCTGTGTCTTCACAGAGTGATTGCTTTTCCATCCGTATGGTCGGGGTCATTCGTGTATCCCCTGCTGAGTCAAAGTTAAGATTACCATAAAGGTAGTGTTCATGATGTGCATTTAGGTGGAAATTACAATGTAAATGGGAACTGTGTGCTGACTCAGTGAACATCAATCTGGACTGTCACATTGTCTATTAATAGGGTGTGAATTTTAAATATGGGACCTGTCTGTTGGGTGAATACTGCAGTTGTATAATGTGTATTGTGTTCGCTTTCCATTTGAGGACAAATTTCACTGAATATTGTTGGTATTTATGGAATCTACCTCTCATAGTGTGTCAGTCTGCCATTTTATCTTTGCACTTGTTTGTGAGAGCAGGTTCCCATCACACAGTCACTGTGCAGCTCTGTCAGTTACCAAACTAGGAGAAAAATATTTAGTTTTAGCCTTTGTCTGTGGGTCTGAAGTAAGAAGTGCAGGTTCAGATGAAATCGTTGTGATTTAAAGCTGCGTTAATCAACAGCACTTCATCAAATGAGTGTATAATGTGGAAGGGGTCACTCTTTGAAATTTATCCATGGAGAATTGTCTCCAGCTCGTTGTGCTGGCCTCAAGTGAGCAACACATCAATAAAAGAACCAATGTGTATGATTTAGTGGCATCTGGCTGTGTAGTTGCTGATTGCTCTCCTGTTCCAAGCATGTAGGATGTAAGCATGCATATAGCATCTAGAGCCGGTGTTTTGGTGGTCGGTTCTGGGCTACTGTAGAAATATGGTGGTTTAGCATAGTGGACTCCGTAGAAGAAGACACAACGATTGTTATATTCAGGTGATTATACACTAATTAAAAAAATACCTATGAATATTATATTTCATTTCCAATTGCCAATAGATCCTTCTAAATGTTACACACTGGACCTTTAAGACAGATTTAAAGCCACAATAAGTTTACATATTGTTAGCTGAGAGTGGTGGGAAGAAAGGACAATTGACAAAAAAAGTATCCAGAAATCCAGATATATAAGATAATAGTAATATCTAATGTTATGGGGGTCCAGATTTCACTGAACAGGACTAACTTTTTAACATTTAAGAGATATTTTTGTCTTCTGTCATTTCCTGTGGACGGGAAATTGTGCAGACCTGACCTTAGAAGTTCCCCAGGCTATAATCCAGAGATTGTCAGCAAGAGGTGATGAGCCTGTCCTCACTGCTGCAGAGCTCCTTTGTGATTTAGACTGAGAACACAGGGTTATTTTTACATTAAAAAGTGGCCTCGTCCAGCTTTAACAGTGTGTGTCTGCTGAATGCGTGGAAGTGGCAGAAAAGACTGATGAAAATGTGGCTCTAAGAACAGGAACAGCTGGTGCACTGACACCCGCTGACACCCAGCGTTTGACGCCACCAAGTTACCATGACAACCGGCTGTGCACCCTCTGTTTCTGACAGCTGTTCCCATGGTGCCTGGGCTTAGCTCAGCCCCTGTACTCCCATTGGCACGATAGATAGCTTCTTGGGGTCAGAGGTCACGTTTATGACGTTGCTGCCGTGGCGGTGTCATGTTGTTTTTCCATTTGAATTACGTACAGATCAGTTTAGCTGAGGTTTGTGTCAACTCCAGCGTCCATTTATCATTGTTTATGACTATAAGCTAAATCAGAGCCTACTTGGAACAGTTTTGTGAAAACATGCATGTGCAATTCAAATTTCTACATCTCTTGAGTATATTTGAATGTGTAGACACTTGAAACCTTTATGTGTGTTATCTGTTCAGAGCCCTGTCTTCTACAGTCAAGCACAGCCAAAACTTGTGACAGATAGAGATCAGAATGGGTGTAATGGTATAAAACGGAGGTACAGTGATGATCTTCATTATGTTAACTTATCTGAGTCAACTTTTAAGTGCCCTGGCTCTGCATTATATATGGCACAGATGCTTTGATGTTGAGCCCCCAGGTTATTATGGCAAGCTGTAAAGTCACTTTCAGGCATTACAAAACCCTAGCATTGGAACTTAAACGCAACACGCCAAATATTTGAGATAAATGCATATAAGACTTGATAATATTAAAAATATCAGCCTAAAGGTGGGCAGGCTGTGTGTTACAGAAGATGTTTCGTTATCTAAGCTTGACGTCAGTGTGTGTATTTTTCCAGGAAATATTCCTCACAATAACATATTTTTTTCACATTTCATTCAACATTCCGCGTCACAAAAACGCTATCTCTGCTCCAGCCATTCCCTGTCAGCTGATTGGCCAAATGTGTCCCAGCAGTCCGCCAGTCTCCTCCCTGTTCCAGCTCTGTATGGTGGCAGTCTGCTGTCTCTACTCTAGCACTAGCCAGACACAGCCAGAAAGGCACTAGTGAGGGGGAATGTACAACTGGCTTCAGTCAGCTCATTTCCTGGACTTATGAAAGATTTTTCATTAAGGTTTCGTTTAGACAGCTAAGACGGCTATCCTGTGAAGACACAGCATCGTTCCTGGACTTTGGATGGGTCATGGTGGAGGACTGTTATCACTTTGATTTTTTCTACCACAAAAAGCGGCTGACAACAGGTCAGGTGTTATGTTCTCTACCTGTTTCCCACCCAGCAGCTGAGTACTACAGTCGGGAGGCCATGTCTGCTTTTAACAGACCCAGGTGATCCACTTTATCATCAGTGTAAATACCTTTGGGTTGTTGGGGCAGCAGTAGCTCAGTCTGTTGGTGCTTGGATTGGGAAACAGACGGTGGTGGGTTCCAGCATGGAACATGGTATGGGTAGCTGGAGAGGCGTCAGTTCACCTCCTAAGCACTGTTGAGGTGCTCTCGAGCAAAGGCACTGAATGGTACCTCCAATCCTTTGGAGTTGCCACTATATGGTAGTCTTTCTTTGTTTTTGGGACTGTTGCAATTTGAATGTTGCTTTGGGATCTCAGAACGTGTGATTGGCATTACTATTTTTTTGGAATTTTATAGACTTAAAAAAATGGATCAACTGCACTTATATACTTAAGAAATTGATTTTCTCGCAGATACTAACCAGTACGGCCTTCCCCTTCCAAACAACTTTCTTTTAAGGTTAACAGATTTAGTATGAACTTTACTAAAGCAAATGTGCAAAAGTGTGAATACTGCTGTTGCTATTGTCTTGATGCATTTGTTTTGACAAATAACTTGCAGACACGACTGTAAAGTCAGTGTGCTGCCAGAGACTTAACTAAAGTTTGACTGTTTCCACAAATAGGCAAATTGCCTGCAAAGCTGTGAATGAAGACATCTCCTTCCTCTCTATCTCTCTCACTCAGCAAGGTAATTAAAGTGCCTGTCTGGGTCCCCTATATGAGAGCCATGGTATGCTAATGCAGTATCCCTTTGACAGTTCTGTTGAGACAACATTGTGGGTGTTTTCACTTGGCCTGATTTGCAATTCACACTCGGGTTATTTCCATCATAGGCATCCCAGGAAGCAGGGAGGGGAAAGGCTGTGAGCCACAGAGAGCTGAGAAAACTGAAGTTTCATTTAATTGCGTGTATGATTTCTTTGAAAGGCACCTTTCAAGTGGTGCTCTAATTGCCAGTTATTTTGCTGGAACTGAAATGTTCTCAAACATGCGCATGCATAACATCGCCATTGTTTCTGTTAGATTTATTTATTTTAAAAATCATTAAGTTATTCAGAAATTCCACCATCCTTTTTTCTGTTCTTGTTTTTAGGAATGTGAGGACGTTTAGACAGGAAAATCTGTCTGAGCAGCGCTGAAGGGTAAAGTTTATCAAGTACAAAAAAGTTGTGAATGTATCACTAATGGGGAAACTTTATCCCTCCTCTCTTCTCAGAACACTGCACCAGCAGTTTGAGAGCTACAAACAGGAGGTGCGTCGCATTGGGGCGGAGACGCGGCGTCAGCAGACCCAGCTGAAGGACGACGCGCCTACCTGCGGTATCTGCCGCAAGACCAAGTTTGCCGACGGCTGCGGCCACCTCTGCTCCTACTGCCAGACCAAATTCTGCGCTCGCTGTGGAGGGCGGGTCTCTCTGCGCTCCAACAATGTGAGGAACCTGACCTCTGACCTCTGACCTCCCCCATTTTCCTTTCTCCCTGTCACACTCACCTCATTCCTGCTGTAGCTGACGTTCAGTCAGTCCTTCTGCTTCTATGTTTGTTACTGTCTTGCTTTGTTGCTTCCTAGTCACACTTTGGTGAGACCAAAGTGTATTGGACGGATGGCTTGGCATCAGTCATAGACCCTTCAAGGCTCATTTTAAGTCTGAGGCTGTGGTGTTGTGGAATGGTTATAAATTGAAGCACTGTAGCTTATTTGAACGTGATCATCTGTGTTGTCCTGTGTCCCCTGTGACTGCACTGCAGCCATCAAGCAAGCAACATGCCCAAACAAAGACCAGGTCCAGTGAGAAAAAGAGATGCAAACAGGGTAACAAGGTTCAGATAGGGCTTTCAAAGGAAAACTCACCATAATCTCACTATACCGAACACAGTTAGGTAAAAAAGTTTCTAGCAAAGGGCAGCAGCTGTAATTAGCTTGTATCAGCAACAATTACAATCGATTCCAATGGCAACCCATTTCACAGCCTAAAGTATTTCACTCCTGCAGAATTGTCCACTTCTTTGCTGCCTAGCACTATGCTCAGTTTACATCAAAAACACACATTTTTTGACCGTTGTAATACTGTATGTATACAGAGTCTATACAGCCATACAAGCGGTGCTGTGAGGCTGTAGTTATGCACAATGGAGCTAAATGCTAACATTAGCAAGCTCCATAAACCAAACATGTTTGTGCTATTTTAAGACCCGGCCATCTTCTATCCAAGCATTTTCTGGGCTCCCCTCCAACCTAAGAGAGAGGACCTCCTCCTGGTTATCTTACCTGACTGTGGGCCCTCCACCCTTGGCCTGCTGATCCCCAATCTGTTCAGGATCCGCACAGCCCAGCTGGGCCTGAGTTCACACTGGCATCACACGTATGCAGAACTCAAAGGCCAGTGAGAATAGGGGATAAAGATAGTATCCCTGTTGGTAGAGCCATTAATATTGCTTTCACAGCAGGCAGGCGATGATATGAGATGAGACTTGCATGATGTAAATCCAATCTATAAATAAAACAAATCAAGCAAACGATTTATTTGAACGTAAATTGTGTTCAAAATAACATTATAAATGTGGGCTTTTTTGAAACTTTTAATATGGAATCGAATTCCTTCCGATGATACTTTGCACCACAAATGTCAGGAGCCTAAATAATTCCAGTAAAAAAGAGGCAGATTTAATGCAGTTCACTGTTTAATTTACCCTCTTATTGATTTTTATGTGTTCATGCACAAGAGTTATGTTGACATAAAGAATCAGTTAATCAATGACTACATTTGTGTCCTGTCAAATAACTGGGTTAAGAAGATATCAGATACATCAATTCAGTATCTGGTTCCTTTACATTACATACTTTCATTGTTATCAACGTAGTGCACTGGGACGTAGTCCAATATGTAAAATTATGTCTCACATGAAATTACAATATAATAATAACAATACATATATAAATATATTTCAATATATGTTTACTTTTAGCACATAGCCTTTAACAATGTTTTTTGATAATAACTTTATTGACCAAAACAGATCAGATTTTCACTGAGCAATTTAATTCTTAAATCCTTACAAGGGATAAGAGAACACATGATGTAAATTGTCTTCCATTTCTTTTCTGTGTGTGTACAAGTGTTTCTCGGTGGTGCTTTCCTCTGTCCCGGGTCATATGGCCGGCCAAGCAGAATAACAGGGTTAGGAAAGTGTGAGCTCCGTTTTATTATATAAAAACCTTCTCCTGCCTAGAGTGTGCTCATTTACCACACATCAGCAGCACACAGTGTTCTCTTTTAGTTAGCAGTTTAGCTTTTAAAAGTGCATTTTCACAGTATAAAAATATAGTGTTTGCTGCTGTTCACCAAAATGTTGAGTATAAATGCACTGTATGTACAGCTTGCTTCATCGGATGTATCCATATGAATGAGCTACATACTGCTGGTAATGAGGAAAGACAGAACTTTTAAACTTTTGAACAAAAGAATACCTTGTCCCCATCCAAATCACACACACAAAAAAGGTAACATATCTTTTTTCTCAAAAAGGTACCAAATGTTATTCTTAAAACAGTATAATAATAACCACTTCTGTGGTACTGTGGGAATGTTTTAAAATAGCATTTGATACCTTAAATGTTTCTTTAGAACATTACCAGTACAGTACCAGAGAAAGTACCAAACATAATTTTGAAAAAGTACCATGTAGCATACATGGGGAGCAAGTAAGACTTTGAGCTTGTTCAGAAAAAATAAAATGCTGCGATAAGTCCATTAAAAATTAATTTCCAGTCATATGTTCAGAGAGATCAAAAAGCAGTTCTTCTTTTCATGGTGTAACAACTACAGCTTCAAAACCTACACATTCACAAACATGTATGTCTCATGGAGTTTTTCACAGGTTTACAAAGGGCATGCAACTACAGGCTTTGAAATTTCTGAACACCATTTCACAATCTTACTGATTCTTATTTGAGTCTGTTAAACAGACAGAACTCAGAGGAAAGCCTTTCTGAAAATAGTTTAGAACTAAAACATTTGCACTACAGGGGCTCTGTGGAACTGAGTATATCAGTCTATAAACTCTTATTTGCCTCTGAGCAGCTCACTGTAATAATTCATCAGTTGCTAATGACAGAGCTGTGTAGTGCTGCCCTGTGCCCTGCAGAAGGCATCACAGCAACATGCTGTGCAAATGCCATCCAAACACTGATTAGGCCACAAAGCTTTGCCCCTGCTTGACATTATAATAGACATACAGTGTAATTAAAGAGGGATTAGCAACCCTAGATGTATTAATTTATCACACTGTATTTACATTTATTTACAGGATTCATTACATAACAGTTAACATAAAAAAAATAAGAGTCACAACTTCTTTGAACTAATTAGCTTCTATCCTGAGGCCAAAACAAAGATGATTAACTTTAATACTAATGATCATTCCAAATCTTTTTAATTGGCCCTTTTACTGACAATGAAGTGCTTTTTTTATGACTTAAGCCACAAAGATTAAAATATTTGAAAATGAACAGACCTGGACAGATTTGTATGGCAGTGAATAGATAGGGTTGTGGAAGATTGTGCTCCATGTTGCTTCTCGTGTCCCAGTTTCCCAGAGGAGCTGTGACACATCTTGATGTTGACCTCTATCATACCAAGGTCACGCCAAGCTGGGTCATGCATGTCGCTGCCGCCTAACATGTCAGTGGTCACATACATTCACATACTGCCCCCCCCCCCCCACCGCCTCGCACTCTGTCACTGAATATGAAGTGTGTGTATCAATTCTGCAGAATGTAATTAACAAATGTTTGCACCACGTCCTCTTTTCCCCTTTTGCTCCTTTGTTTTTTCCCTCTCCTCACCAACAATCTGTCCAATATCCCATTTCACAAATTCACATCTTTTATGTTCTTAAATTTTTTCTCTCCTTTCTTCTTTTGCTCCACTTCCGCCCTCACTTTTCTCAATTCCTCACTGCTACCTGGACTGCATGCCACAAAGGAGGACAAAGTGGTTAGCATCTTTTTTGTGTTTCTCTCTGTGCTGTGAATGTGATGTTTGTGCCACCTTAAAGGTATAAAACGCTGGCTGTGTTCAAATCTGGAGCTGAGATTTCTCCTGCCCGTTTACAGCATGTTAACTTCTACCCTGGAAAGGGGATGCCAAAATATTGGCAAGTTTAGTTTCTCCCATGTTAGCCAGACCTGTACTGTTCCAGCTGAAAGCAACAACTGCAGATGCAAGAGAGTGAGCTATCGGATTGGAACGGAGCCAGTGTGTGTACAAATCCACTTATGGATTACTGACTTAACTGAACAGAGGGAGTCCCTGATAGTTCACACTTTTTTGTTAACTTTGATTTCCCCGAGCATTTACTGTACTGTGTGGGGTGGAGCCACCTGGAACTATTGTGTCTCCAGTGTAAACCCTGACTAACTCTGTGTCCATTGTCTGTCTCCTCCCCTTGCAAAGTGTCTCATAGTGAAGGACAGGGTAAGGCTTGCTGGGTGATGGATTTTGCTGCATGGGTCACCACTATTGTCTCCCCCTTCGCACTTGGGTCTGTGCTCATTCACAGTATCAGAAGAGGAATTCCGACCCACTATCAGTTCTTGCCTCACAGATCATTGTGGTTAAGCGGTCCCAGGGCAGCTGGCTGGTGATCCTGCATCAGTAACTCTAATTCTGAGAATGAATGCAGACCCTGAAAGTCAACTGGCGGGCAGAGTGAGCATGAGCCATAATATAGGCTGTTGTCAGGGGCGTCTGACCCCACTGACCCATCCTTACCCCTCTTCCTATGGCTGTAGGCATGGCTGTGCTAAAAGGGGGCAAATGGATACTGGATAAAAAAATCCTTGACAAAAATGGGGAAGGGGAGATTGGCGTTTCAGCTGGCATGCATATGAGAAAGCACTCTACCCTACAGACTTTTATCTGAATGCACAACAAATGCACACTCATGCCTGTGCATGCTTTCCCTGCCTGTGTGTTTGAGACCAGACCAGCCTTGCCATGGGGAGACGGGAGGGGCCCAGGTATATGTTCCACTTTGTCCACTTCCCCTTAATGCTTGGTTACTGCAAAATGTCAAACAAACAAGTGTTGTTACTGCTGAGCCCTCTCAAAGTCACAAATGATGAGGAGAATGGCAGTTGAGTATAGTTTGGGATGTCACAGAGCGCTTGAATAGTCAGAGAGAGGATTCATTGTTTGACAGGGATTATGCTTCAAGGTAAGGCAGCAAAGGAGGCCGAATAGCAAAGTGAAAAGATGTGCTGCTCATGGTATACATCTGTAATCTAGTAACTGCTCACTTCTCTCATTGATCACTCTATTAGATTAAAATCCAAATATCAAGATGACCCGGGCTTAACTCAAATATGACTTAAGCTAACAAACAACCAATTATACTGGTAGAATTGGTTGTTTGTTAGCTAAACCCTGACATCTAACTGAGATTGTCCAATCATAGTTTAGCAACCGTAAATAGGCATTGTAGACCTGTCAAGCTTTGGATTACTCTACATGTTGAAGTTGTGTGCCTGGGCCTGTAGTAGGAGTGGTACTTTATTTTTTAAGGGTCTTTTTTAGCCTTTAGTGTTAGTCCCCCTCCAGTCAAAAATGTAGTTTTTTTGTTCCAGAATGAGGTATGTGCAGAGTTTGACACTAG